GTTTTGATGTCCTTACGTTGGTTGTTAGTTTGACGTCAGTGTATATATAGTTTTGATGTCCTTACATTGGTTGTCAGTTCGATGTCAGTGTGTATATAGTTTTGATGTCCTTACGTTGGTTGCCAGTTTGACGTCAGTGTATATATATTAGTTTGGATGTCCTTACATTGGTTGTCAGTTCGATGTCAGTGTGTATATAGTTTTGATGACCTTACATTGGTTGTCAGTTCGATGTCAGTGTGTATATAGTTTTGATGACCTTTCGTTGGTTGTCAGTTTGACGTCAGCGTATATATAGTTTTGATGACCTTACGTTGGTTGTCAGTTTGACGTCAGTGTGTATATAGTTTTGATGACCTTACGTTGGTTGTCAGTTTGATGTCAGTGTGTATATAGTCTGTATGGTTTTTGAGTTGTCAGTCTCATCTCGCTGTGTATATCGTCCTGACTACCAAACAATAAATACATCATTGACTTATATCATTTTCGTCTCTCAACAAGAGTAACTTTTAATATTGTTGTGTGAAACCGTAAATAATATTAAAAAAAACATTTTTGAAATTCAAAACTTGAAGAAAAAATGTTTAAAGTATAACCAAATAAATTCAGGACACTCAAACCATATATAAGTTTTTTCTCTTAAATACACACACATTATTTGTTTTTTATAGCCAGCAGTCCATAATAATGAATACTTTATCAGGGAGCGCGGTTGCGACCCTATGTAGGGATGGGTCCGGTTAAAAATGGCGGCCTTTACATTGTGTATGGTAGCGCGTGCGTGCGCTTGGACGTCGACAAAACCCAGCCCATCACTGAACAAGTACAAGACTGCCTCTATAGTTCGGCTAACTATCGTTGACGTATAGAAAACGGGCCGCGAAAACATCGAGTTTTTTCTTCTCCGTCAGCTGTGCCTACGACCAGCATGCACAACAAAACACTCGCTAGGATGTGCCTTTTCATACCTAGTACAACAAGTAATTCCAATAGGTTAGTTACAGCCCAAACTACTAATCACACGGTCTCTGATCAGTAAGCCATTATGGGCATTATATGGAAGTAGATAATCTACCGTGTGCCCCTTACCGCGCCGCGCAGTATCCTGGTCATGACTTACCTTGCTTGAAGAAGTAACGTCTCTAGATTACATTATGGCTCCCTATAGAGTAGAAACTGAATACGTTGGTGAAGTGGTGCCTTCCCCCTAGAGGTTACAGCCCCATTGGAACCCAAGAAAGTCTGCATTACACATTCCTACATTTCGCCACTTAACCACCACTGTCCTAACGTATATATGCCTCCTCCTATCCCCCAAGTGTTTTCTAATTTCTGATCCTTTTCCATCCCTACATTCCAACAGTTTTATAATAAAAAATTTTGTTACTTGTAACGGAAGGACAGCCGTAAGTTTCTTCACTTACAACTCTAAAATCCGGGGTCTTTTCCGCGCGGTGGGCAGAGCGTAGATAGTACTGATAACAAGCATCGGTATTTAACTGCGTTGTAGTGTTAATTCCATTCATGTTTAGGCATGGAATGACGTGGTAGTTAGGGCGCTCAACTTGCGATCTGCGGGTCGGGAATTCGAATCTCGTCACCGAACATACTCCCCCTTTCAGCCGCAGGGGCGTTTTAACGTAACAGTTAATCCCACTTTTCGTTGCTAAAAGAGTAGTCCAATAATTGGAGATGGGTGGTTTTGACTAGTTGCCTTCCCTGTAGTCTATCAGTTCAAAATTAGGCGCAGATAGCCTACGATTGGCTTTGCACGAAATTCAAAACAAACAAACCATTCATATATATAAACTAGTTTGAGTTATTTATTATAACGCTACAGTTTCAAGTTCGATCCCTGTAATGAGCACAGCACAGATAACCAACTGTGCTGCTTTGAACTTAAACAGACAAACAGTATCGATATTGCTATTTTATCCATTTATAGCTGCAGCTGAAATCAAAGCAGTGGCACATGAAAAACACATTAGTAGCACAGAGCGAAATAAATAATAACAAAAAGATACGATAAATTAGCATAACGTGATTGGAGATTCCGCTCTGAACTGTTGTTTAACTGTGGTTTCACCCCACCCATTTTACTTTGATATAACTAATTATTTCGTCTAGCGAAATAACATACTTACAAAGACTGCTTCTAATTTATACATAACGCATTTCAGTTCTTTTTTTTTTTGTATTGTAACTATTTTACTTCTATCTCTTAGAAGATAAACGTCTTCGCCTGATAATTTGTTTAAAAGTTTAACATGCACAATCTCTAAACAAAGTGCTCGTTATAAGATTAATTCAGTGGTAAGGAGTGGTAAATATAGAATCACTCATAGTAAAACCATAAATTAAAATCTCTGTATGATGTCTGGTTCTTTTGTTAGTTCGGCATAATTAATGAGTATATCAATAAAGGTAAGAAAATAAGAATACAGAACAGGGCTGTCGCTTACTTTTTATTTCGTGTTTTTTCTTCCTTTTTCTTCCATCGAACGTTCATTTAATAAGCAAAGTATATCATTCATTATAAAAACCCAACGAAATCTAGAAAGGACAATATTCGCAAACCCATGAAATATGTATTCATTGTCCAACTTATTCGATAAGATCTACAGAACACAGCAGATTTCAAGGGAGGACGGTATTCAAGAAAGGGGACGTGAGTATAAATTACAATATTGTTACGACAGCGGAAGTCACGTGACTCTAGTAACACGTCATGATATTCTCGAAGGTTCGTGAATGATCGAGTGTTTGCTAGATGTGCAGTATTATTGTATATAAGTGCGCCAGACAATGAATCGATATAGAATGGCAGACGGACAACTGAGTCTAGCGTGGTAATAAGTAAGTGCGTGAATCGTTCGTTGTGAATTATAGCGTGTATTTAAATTAAACTGATTGTGGAAATTAAGTGTATTGCAAAGTTATATTGAGAAAGACTTGTATCGCTGAAGTTTCTCGGGAAGAATTTCTACGGGAAATTAACAAACGAACAGAGACGTAACAATATATATATATATATATACATTAGAGGAATGGACACTTTACAGATTGTCAACTTGAGGATTCATTGTGAGAATATTCGAGAATATTAAATTGTGACATTGTAGTACATTGGACAGTCAGTTTTGGTGTAAACAGACTTATCTGCAACAATAAAACTTTACAGGTGCAATGCGTTTTGGTAACCTTACATTCCAACAATGTCTTTAATGTCATGTTGCTTAACAACAAAAGTATAATCTAATATTGTTGCTAGTCTATGTGCTGAAAGTATAAAATGAAATGTATAGAAAACAAAACTGGAAAAATATTTGTTGATTTTTTAAAGTCTCTGTTTAATAAAAAAGTTTGTTTTTATTTATTTAAAACGTTGGTGATATAACAGAAAATAGGTTAATTCAGAAACGATTTAAATTTAAATCATATTTTTACTTTCATGATAAATTTTATGCACTTGGCTCTAGGCTAGGTGATCCCACACTACGTCTTTACTCTAGGCTTATTATACCAATACTCAATACACTTATAAGGTTTCGCGGCACCCCCTGGCTAAAATCGTAATGGGCAGACAGTAAACAAAGTATTCTATCTGGATAAATGCAACTTGTCTTTTATGACTCATATTTCGAGAAATCAAGCGTGACGTGACACAAACTGACATTAATATAGGTTCGATGAGAAATCAAGCGTGACGTGACACACACTGACGTTTATATTAATAAGAACCCTTGTAAAAAGTTTACATATTCAGACAAAGTCTCTAGATTCAGAGCTTTCTATTACATATATTACAATTTTTCGTTTTAACTGACCAATAAAAAAAAAAGGCACGAATTTTAAATCTACCTGTTTCTGTCTGCTGTCGCAAGGTATCGTTGAGGAAAATGTTATCTAGATTGGTTTTGTTTGTTTGAAGTTAAGCACAAAGCTACACCCAATTTCTAACGCAGGCATACCGCTGTGCTACTGGGTGGCATCTAGATTGATCGAAATATAGAAGAATAAATGACCAAAACCTCTAATTTAGGAAAACGTTTTAGGTTTGACTCCCCGTGAAATTTCAGGTAAAGCGCTAATCTCACATATATCTGTTTCAGTCTTGTAAGATATCTTTGAGGTAAATCTCATATGTAATGGTAGAAATACAAAGAAATAGCTAATATTTCGATTGTTGACCTGTCACCATCCTAAAATCAAGAGAAACGCATAAATCCCAAATCTATCTGCTTTGATCTGTAGGATGTTGTTGCAAGGTGTCTTTATACTAAATTTCTTTGTCTTCTTTTATCTTTCTTAAACTACCTTATAGATTAATAAAACTTAGTTTACAACCCTGTAACATTTCATTCTTTCTTTGTTATTTCTAATCAGAGGTTGTTTTTGTAGACTCGATTTTTTTTTCTTCTAAAGTCATACTTTAAAGAACCACAATAATTCTCGTCGTTCTTTCAGACAGTGATGTCAAAAGTAATTTTACTTGCTGAAAAATGAACGTAAAAATATGCTGATTCAATTTGATAAATAATATTTTATGTTTTACCCGGAAAGCACTTTATTTTGTAGAGCAAGCAGTGGTGTTATTTTTAAGGCTGTGGAAGAAAATACGGATTGAATAAAATTATAAGGTAAAGTTGTTAAATCAAACTGAAATAGAGTGCATCTATTTGTGAAAGGATCGGCACACTTGATCCAATGTGACAACTTAAGAACACTGTTAGAAATGATCAGGTAACGCCTTTCCATATCAAGTAAAAAAAATAAGATGATTATTAGTTCTATTACTCTCACTTTTGAGTGCTTCAGTGAATAACAACCCCTGAGGAAGAAAGTCGAGTTCACTTATATATGTCACCAGTGATTATCCTGCTGAAGTGACCTGTTCCATTCTTACCTAACGTGTGGGAGGATGTCTCTGACGTCACTATTAACGCACCACTCACTAAGTGTGTTTCATTAAAACGTCACTGCTGAGAGCTTGTCTTTACCAAGTACCAGTGAACGAACCGGTTGAATTCAACCAGACACCAACAAACAATACGAGAGCTCATCTCTATTAGCACGTGCTTCAGATCGTCCCTGTCAGCCTGCTTATGGTCATCTAGAAAAAACAACAACTAGAAGAACTACAGCTTAAACGTTTAAACACCTATCTGCTTATTGTAAAATTTCTTATAATATTCTAACAAACTTTCATCTATAAATCTGATAGCCAATGATCCTGAACATGAGGAACTGGAGTCTTGCTGCTTTCTTGGCTTTAGTGGTAACTATGACAGGTTAGTCTAATCGTTTTAAATTTGCACAAATAAGTTTCAAATTTACCTCTTTCTTCATTAAGATTTTATGAACATATGGAATTAGAATTTTTCTAGCCTAAGAATAGATATCATTTCTCATTTTAAATACATTTTTTAAGCTACAAATCTCACTGTCATGCTTTGAAGTTTTTGTACTTTATTTTAAACTTAATGACACACACACAAACCGAAATTAGCATAGGAAGGGAAGTCGTAATGTTCTTTGAATATTGAAGTTGTGGGCCACTTAAGGAGAGAGAAGGGGTTAAAGGAATTTAATATTTTATAACCCTAAAGTTGGACATTTCAGTTATGTACCCCCAAAACTTGGCGATTTTTGCACTTTTGAGAACACGAGATATCACTACAAATGTTTACAAATCTCTGAAAAGTATTATTTGAAAATATAATTTAATGAAATTAATATTCAGCTATTCAAATAAGTCCCTTCAAATTCTTTATAAAACATTTCATTTTATAAACTGTAATCATATGAAAAATATGTTAGAAATGAAAAAAAAGGCTTTTTACAAGCATAAATGTCATTGAAGATGGTTAATAGGCAATTAATCAAAACGTTGTAGTTCATTCAAACATAGAGAACTCTTTGGTCCGGTACAGACACGAACGTAAATAAGCCATTTTAAACAAAATACATTTCATTAATAGTTTTTAAGAAAATAAATTCACAGATTTTCATCTACTAACACAAAATATAACATTTTACCTTCTGCAATATATGAAATATACATACTTTTTACAGACTTTATTTTCATAACAATTGGAAGGATAATCTTTAAAAAGTATTTAATTTGATAATCATGTAGAAAAACGTATAGGTTGTGGATATTCCAGAAAATAAAATATCAACAAATCGATTATTAATGACAACCAGTCAAACTTCCTTAGATTGGGTTTTTCTGAAGTTTATATGTCTACATTATAATCACCGGTAACAAAGATCCCTTTTTTTTTTAGTCCGCGGCATAACGGCTCATAGGACGGCTCTGAGTTTGTTTTTTTTTTTTTTTTTTCTAAGTACAAACTTTTAGGCCATAGCTCCGTCATCTCTTGACCGATTTGAGATCTAATTATAGTTTTGGCTTCAGGAGGTCAAACTCTTTCGATATAATATGGTGATATCATATGGACTGAAATATGTTTTTTGTTTTAGCGCAAATTTACATAATGGGCTCTCTGCTGTGTATCCATAATGGAGATCGAACTCCGAATTCGAGCGTTATATGCCATCAAGATTGATGCTGGGCCAGCGGGGGACTAGATTAAATAATAAAATATTTATTCAAGAAACTTTGATAAATTAAGAACTTAAGATGTAGAAGACCTTCTTTGTTTTAAAATATATTCTGATCTGAAAGAAAGAGTACTGTGACTGGAATCAAATGTCGCTCATTATATATCTATTGTATTTATTTTAGACCTTCCATATTTCTATTATGTCCATCTTGATACATTTCTACGGGTTTCACAATATTGTTATATTTGTCTTTGAATCAATTGAAACACAGTATATATACCTTTAATAAAAAATACTTTGTCCTAAAAAAAGTCTTAAATTTTACATTATAAATTGTTGCCGCAGCGTAGCTGCTCATAGAATGGCTCTGAGTTTTTTTTGTTTTTTTTCAAGTACAAACTTTTAGCTCAAGGCTCCATCTCTTATCCAATTTTGAGATCTAAATACAGCCGCGGCTATTGAGGATTCCCTCTTGTTTTATTTAATATTTAGTATTTCGGAAGAAGATATTCTTACATTGATATTGTTTGTGTCAACACGTATTTCAGTTTGAAATAGTGAGTCGGGTCTTTTGCTGCAGGCTGTTGGGATCATGATAAATAACAACATTATGTAAGACACGTTCCCGCTTTTCGAATGTCAAACAGGTTCTCGTTCACATTAAAAACAAGTGGGGTTTTATTTTTGAACCAAGCTTTGTTCGAATGGCAAAACAAACCGTGCAGTATCCTTCGAATTCGGTATTTTGTTACTTAAAAGAATAAATTGTTTGTTTTGAATTTCGCGCAAAGCTACACGAGGGCTATCT